TCCTTGCGGGTGGGAGCAGGCGGAGCTCTGTGTGTAGAGGTGGGTGGGAGCAGGGGGAGCTCTGTGGACAGAGGCGGGTGGGAGCAGGCGGAGCTCTGTGTGTAGAGGTGGGTGGGAGCAGGGGGAGCTCTGTGGACAGAGGCGGGTGGGAGCAGGGGGAGCTCTGTGGACAGAGGCGGGTGGGAGTATGGGGAGCTCTGTGGACAGAGGCGGGTGGGAGCACCGGGAGGTCTGTGGACAGAGGCAGGTGGGAGCAGGGGGAGGTCTGTGGACAGAGGCAGGTGGGAGCAGGGGGAGCTCTGTGGACAGAGGCGGGTGGGAGCAGGGGGAGCTCTGTGGACAGAGGTGGGGCACATTCTGCAAATGTCCAAGGCAGAGACGCCCCCAGTGTCAGGCAGGTTCCTCCTGAAGGTGGCCGCACTTGCACCTCCTCAGCTGGAGTCACGAGACATGAACTGTGGCCTCTGGCTGCTGAAGGGGCTTCTCCCAGCCGACCCGTGGTGGCAGTTGGGGCAGCAGAGTCTTAGGTTTCCTTTGGGGCCAGTAGCATGTCGAGGCCCCTTCTCGCTCTCTGTGGCCTCACAGCCTCATTCCCGATTCACTTAGATTCTGCTGGTGTCTTCCGCACCCAGCCTGGCTCCCAGGAGCAGGTCAGCTTCCCCCGCCTGCAGCCCCGTGCCTACCCACAACCTCCACTGAGCCCACCTAGAGCTTTCCCGCCCCGGGGCCTGAGGAGCAGATGCTGGGGAGGCACCTGCCACGTGGGGAAGTTGTTGGATCTGTAGGAAAGGTCACCCTGGTTTTCCTTAGCAAAGAGCCTGGCTGAATTGTGCCCCGGCTTTAGGGATTGGTGGAGGGTGAACTTCAAAGTGATGATTTGCAGGTCCTGGCAGAAAAAATTTCTGAGCAGTGAAGTGTTCAAGAAGTGGTGTGGCTGCTTCTAACAGCCGATAATTTAAAACCGCAGAGCAGCCATGGACTCCCTCTCGCCAGGGGAGGCCCACGCCAGCCCCTGACCAAGTGACTCCAGACCCTGCCCTGAGCCACCTCATTCCTCAGCCGGCGTGAGCATTCGGGGTGTGAGCTGCTCTGGAAACATCCCCAGGCCCCTGTGTGGCTATCAAAGGGGCCTTTGGAAGGTCTGAACTTCCTGTCCTCAGACACTGGGATTAGCTGAAGAATCACAGGGAGATGCTTCAGATCTACAGGATTCGGTTCAAAACAAAAAAATACACATTTAAATGTTAATACTTAGCTTCCCCCAAGCACTTCCCTGGCCATGGTGTTGGTGCCTTTCCGCTGGGACAGGTGGGAGTGCAGGTACCTGGAAATGAGGTGAGTCTGTAACCGCTCTGGGTGCTGGGTGGGCGGAAGCTGGGCCATGGAGTGAGTGGGGGACCGTCACATCAGAGAGAAACTGCGTTTGCACTGTTCCCTGGTCCAAACTCCCACAGGACATACTGGAGGGGGTACATTTTTCAGGGCGGGAAACTGTACGTTGACTTTAGTAGCCCTCCCCCCACAATGCGAGAGGGTGGAGGCCCTTTTCCCTTTGAGCCGGTGTGGCTGCTTCTTTAAAGCGGCTTCATCACACAGAGCATGTGGGAGGGACACAGCTTTCTTTACAACCAAAGATGCTTTTATGATTAGGAGCCCTGCCTTCTGAAAGCTTGTTTTTTTGTTTTTTTTTTAAGAGGTGATTCGTTGGGAATAACAATCAAATTGCAATAAAAGCCGGTTATGTGCCTTCACAGCTTTAACACACCGCAGGGCTTGCTCTGCTCACACTCACAAAACAGTGGTGTCAGCACGGCTGCGACCCAGCCCTGGAGACGATTCACAGAACATCTGGGAAACGTGCCTCATTACAGCGACAGCCAGCACGGAGACTTTGATGAAAGGCCCTCCCCTGAATACCATCAGAAGAAATGCTGTGCCCTGCCTAGCCAGGGAAGCCTCAGGGAAAAATGCAGGGCATGAGGGGGGATTTCAAAGGCAGCTGGAGGCAGGGTAGGCGCGGGGCTGACACCGGCTCCCAGCCGCTGCCTGTGCACGCGTGTCTGTGTGCACATGCGTGTGTGTTTGTAAATGCCATGCATGGGGCTCTGGGGTGGTATCCAGGTTGGGGGATCAGCAGAAAACAGAGTGAAAAGCCCCAGGAAGCCAGCAGGACTCTCGAGCTGCCCGGGCAGGTGAAGGGGCACATCTGTGGCCACATCTGAAGATATTTCGGAAGGTTGGAAGGGAAGCCCATTGCCTACACCGTGCGTGCTGAGTAGAGCTTAATTCAAGTCTTCAAGTCTGGGGCGTTCGCATGTTGACAGAAGCCTCCTGTATTTATTTATTTTCCTCTTAAGTTATGTTTCATTTGAAAACAGGCGTTTCTGCAGAAGGCACCGTGCACCGTCCAGCAGGAGGCCGGCCCTTCAGGACTCAGAGGCAGAAGCGTCTGGGGAGGGAGCACCAGCGTCCAAGAGGTCACCGATTACGACCTTGAGCCCTTGGGGGACCGGTTCCCTGAGCAGGCCCCTGGGCTCCCGGGCAGGCTGAACACGCAGCTGTCTCAGTCTTAGGCCTGTGGGAACAGAAGATGCCAGCGAGGCCTCCCGGGCCTGCTCCGAGCTCCCCGAGGTTTGCAGCTGGAACCGCGCTCCGCCCCCGCCTCCAGGAAGTCCCCACCTGGAGCAGAGGCCGCGTGGCCTGGACTGGGGCGGCGACCTGGGCACCTTGCTCTACCTGGAGGCTGACGAAACGGGGAGGCCTCCTGCCCGCGTCCCTCTGCGGCTGAGCCCCGGTCCGCCCCGCGCGGGTCTCCGAGGCCCCGTCCCCCTTTGGAGGGGGTGAGACCCCTGAGCGGGAACCGAGCTCCCGTTGCCCACGCTGCTGCCCGCGCTCCACGACCCCGTGAAGGCCCCGAGGACACCGGGCCGGGAGCGCAGGACGCGGAGCGGGCGAGTTTTCAAGGCGCGGGCGGCGCGGGTGTCCGGGACTGAGCGCACGCGGCGTTGGATGCGCCCTTCCCGGGGTCTGCAGCGCAGGCGACGGGTTCCCCGTGGTTTGCAGCGGGGCGGCCCCGCAGAGATGGGAAGGGGGAGATGGTGAAGGGGCCGGGAGCTCTGGCGGCCGCGCAGGACGCGATCGTGTGAGGACCCTGCAGGCACCCGTGCGCGCCCCGTCGCCTTGGTCCCCCACACCTGCGGGTGGGCGGGGCAGGTGCAGGGCGCGGGGAGGCCGCTGTCCATCACTTTCCTGTTCTAATGTGGTTCTGCCGGGACCCTATTGTTCAGGCTCTGAGTGTCCAAAGCCCATGTGCGACCCGCGATTCGACTCACACGTGGGAAGGAGGGAGCGAGGTGCCCCCACTCGCCCCCAGGTTCATCCTGCGTGGGGCCGCCTATCCCTGCGGGCCGGTCCTGGAGAGAGAGTGGACAGTCTTCCCTGGGCGCCCCCCTAGGACTCAGGCCTTGGAACCCAGGAATCAGGAGCAGGTGCGTTTCCACTGAGGAGCAGAGGAGTGGGGTGCGTCCGAGGGGGGCCCGCGTTCTGGTAACCTCCTTGTTCTGGGCACTTCTGCTGCTGTCTTCCGGTGGGGTGTGTGCTCAGGATACAGAGATTAATGATGGCGCAGAGGCGTCCGTGCACACCGCGTGCAAAGCCTTTCTCCTGCGGTCCTTGCCCAGGGAACAGAAAGCACACCTCAGGCCTCAGCTGGGGCCTCTCACCTGCACCTGCACGGGCTCACCTGCCCGTCTGTCCCGTAGGACGGCGAGTCAGGGCTAACTCCTCACTGTTTGACTGTGGGGCCGTCAGAATGGAAGAGCCACGAAGAGAAGGAAACACACCTGGAGCTGAATTCAGTTTAATAAATGTTTAAACTATTTGCTAAAATCCAACATAAATTTAAAGGTGCAGAAGTTGTCAAAGCTGTCATTCTACACTCATGAGGAGACCACAAGAAATGAGATACAAAGAGAGGATTTTCCCTGGGCTGGCAATTATTCATTTAAAAAAAAAAATTAAAGTTGCAAAGCAAATATTTCACTTTCATGGTTTGGTAAAACCTAACTGAAAATCTGCGTAAATGACTTTACTTCCTAAAGATGCAAAACTTTTAACTTTTCATTTTACCAAGTTTTTACTGTCTAAAATGAGTTTTTCTTCTGATTTGGTAGTAAAGATTACCCTTTTAACATTCTCAAATGGAACTATAAATACTGAATATTAATACCCTATTTTCTATTGCTGTCATTAAACACCAGTGAATGTAATTGCAAACTAATCTGGCTATTTAATTTCTAGAGAAATTATCAGTTTCAAGAGTTTTGCATTCAGCTTGTAGCACTCATGAACTCATATTGGAATGTTTTCTAAAATCTAATTCTCATGCAGAAATTAAAGCTCTTACCACATAAGAGAAGATGTTGGAAGTGGCTGCGGCCATCCCCACCAACCCCAAGAACTGTGCATTTTTATGGAACTTCTATTATGAGCAAAGACCTTTTGGAAAAACACTCCAAATAGCTGCTCCTTGGAGTTTGCGGTGAGTCTTGGGCAACAAGGCGTGGACTCATAGAAGTAAAGAGAAGGTTTGAGCTGAGAGTCCAGTTTCATTTTGTTTTCTTTTACATCTGCTAAGTAAATCCCACACCTGCCTGAAGAACTTGGATACCTGAATGTGTATAGTTAAGAGCTTGGGAATTGGCCATCATTTGCTTTGACCAAATGGTAAAGTTAGATTTATCAGAAACTCTACCTCTTAATCATATTTTCCCTAGTCTCTGTGGGAAAACAACAACAACAACAACAAAAAGATTTTTTTAAAACCCCACAATTGTACAAAAGCAGCATTGGTAAAATAAGGCAATTACTTTGTAAAGCAGTAAGATTTTAGTCTTCATAAGAATGGCAAATTGCAAGGACATTATTTTTAAATTACCTTTCAAATCACAGGTTAATTTCCAAATTGGGTATAAAATTATGTAGAATAACATGAACATACATAAAATGAATTTACATTTTATTTTGGTTGTTTACACAAGGAACATTCTGAAATTTTACAGAGCATTGAAAATAACAAGATAGTTTTCTGAATTCAACATAACATCCCAACCTGATTTCCTAACATTGCAAACTAATTTTACTCTGCCATGATGGCCATCAGGGTTATAGTCATCTTTTCTAACGACCTTAGAGATCAGGGTGTGTTCCTGGGCATGAAAGGATTTGATGGTGGTCACCCCAGCTCCACCTGCTGCTGTGTCCTGTGATCAGACACACCCATCTCCCAAGGCCCAGCTCCAGGGCCTTCCTCTCCTTGGTTTTCCATTGCACTTCACGTGTATTTTACCTGGCCTTTTCCGGGAAACCAGCTTTGAGCGCCTTCAGAAAGCTCCTCACCTTCCCCAGACATGGCTGTCCCCGGCCCTCAGTCCCGGGCCCACCGTACGCTCTTGTTCACTGTAGTGCGCTGTCCCCAGGAGGAGACGCCTGCAGGCTGGGGGCATTGCATCAGGATTCCCCTCGATGTGTCCCCTGGTGTCTCAGCATCTTGAACAGCTCAGCAGCTCAGGGGTCCCTGTGAGATGGCATGGACTTTCCCCACCAGACTGCAAAGCTCTTAAAATCAGGGCGCTCTCTGCCAGTCCTGTAAAGTCACAGGTTACTTAGCAGTGTTTAGATGCCACGCAGTTTTCATGAATAGATTGGCACCACAGAGTTTCACATTTTGACTCTAACTGAGTCTCCTTTCATATACATTGGGAAACTGGGACTCAGGAAGGTGAACTAACTTCCCCTCATTGCTGAGGGTGTGAGTGTCAGCCAGGCTAAGACACCACGTGGCCTTGACTGTTTATGATGGTCTCTTTGGACCTCAGCATTCTGCACTAATTTTGGGGAAGCTAAATAATTTGTCCATCAACCCCAAATTTTTCAATGAATTGGAGTCTTCCAAATCTACCTCATTTTCTTATCTAATTTTGCAGCAATGCACATAAAAGGCTAAATAAATTAGATAACACTTTAAAAATTAGACTGTTTAATAAGCTATTGCAACCACAGAGATTAATTTGTCCATTAAAGAGTACAGAATCTGCTATAATGTACATTTTTAAAGAATGTCAAAAGTATACTTACAAAGCTTGCACATAACTTGTGGCACTTTTTCTACATATATTACATTTGGACAAAGTATGGAAACTTAGACCTGGGAAGCATGTTGCTGAACAGGTCCATGCTCACGGAATGAGCCTCCTGCATGTGACAAATTGGATAGAACGGATTTGAACACCATAGCCCACCCCTAGTGTCAGAAAGCAAAGGTCTTATGTGGCGTGCAGCCTTACAGCGTGTGGGGAAATGTGATCGGTGTGGCACACACTTTATTTTCACACATCCACTAGGAACACAGTAATGAAGGGCTAGTTCTTGCCCACAGCAGGACTGTGGGGAAAATCGGTGGAAGGTTGAAACGCGCATGAAATCCCCAGTCTCACAGCTCCATTTTACCACCAGTGGACATACCTGCAAATTTAGACACAGGCTTTAGTCAGCTTCCTTTTATACCCTCTGGTTAACAAAGTAAAAGAGACTCACAAAGTAGCCACTTACCGATGAATCGTGGGGATGTGCGCGCGTAGCTTAAGCTGTTGGAGGGACTCGGATGGCTGGGCATGTCTGCTCCAGGTGGCCTCTCCACTCTGCCTTGGCCTCACGGTGTGCTGGGTGTGCGCTTCTCCCCACCCCTGCGTGTGGCTGGGGATACTGGGGACACGCAGAGGTCTCAGGGCGGCAGGGCACAGAGGCTCACTCCTGCCTTGTGTTTCCAGGTGTCCAAGTTGGAAGAGCTTGCTGCTTGCTCTTTCATTTTTTCTTTTCTTCTTCTCCTTCTCCTTCTTCTTCCACACAGGTCATTCAGTTTATAGTAGAAAAGCTGGGCAAAATTCAAACATAAAAACTGAAACCATCTGATGGTCTTGAGAGCTGTTTCTGGTCAGAGCTGGAGAGGAGGCAGCAGGGCCGGCAGCTGGGCCCACGCTCACCCAGGGCATTGGCTGGTGCGGAGGTGTGGGGAGGAGCGTCCTTGGGGGTCTGGGAGTGTGAGGAGGCATCAGAGTCTCAAGGTTTTCCGGAGACCCTGTCATGCTACATCCTAAAGTAACGGTTCTAAAATTAAGCCATTTCCCACAAGAGTTAAATCACCTGGTTAACCCCGTGTGAACTCCTTTTTGATTCGGTGACTCTTCTGGGGAAGCACTTGCCCATGAGTCGAAGTAAACTCGCCTGGGGGAAGAGGACACTTTCCTGGAACCTCACATTTTCCTGGCAAGTTTCACCCACGATGTCCTGCATTCAATAAAAAATAACCAGGTGTACAGGGAAAAAATGGCCAAAAATCAAGACAATTAAAGGGCAAGAGGAATAGGTCTACAGCAGACATAATTACACTTGCAAGACACAAGGAGACACTGGTTTTAAAATAATTGCAGTTGATTTGTTTAAGGAATTCAATACCTTTATGGAGAATGTTATCCAAAAATAGAAATGATGAAAAGCAGTTACGTGGAGATTCTAGAATGAAACACATTGACTGGAAATCGGAACAAGATGGATGGAGTGTGAAGCAAATGATGTGCATCTGGAGACAGATGATTAGTGAACAGGAGGATGAAGCAGAAGGAACTGAAGCATGAGAGAGAGAATGTGCACTGGGAAGGTGTGAGCTTCCAGACACGGGGACTTCGGGGAAGATCCGGGTACGCACAACTGGAGCCACAGAGAGACGAGAGAGAAAAACGGGTGCTCAGGTGAACAGGTTCACTGAAAATGACCTTAAACTGGTGAGAACCACTCAGCCAGGGTGAATTCAGAGAAAAGCACATTAGCTACGTGGGAGCACAGCTGGCAAGAGACAAAGGAAAAGTCTCCAAAGCAGCAGAGCTCGGAGGAGGCAGTTCTGCAAAGAGCAGAGACAGAGCTGGCCCTGACGCTCACCGTTTGGACTGTGACACAGAAGATAATGAGCATTCAAAGCACTAAAACAACAACTACCAACCCAGACTACAACATCCAGGTGAAATGGAGGCATTGTTAGGAAAGCAGCCACTAGGAGCACAGGTCACCAATGGGATCAGAGCAGAAGGAAGAAAGTGACCCAGATCACCAGTGGGACCTCAACAGAAGAAAGACAGTGATCCAGGGCACCAACGGGACCAGAGCAGAAGAAAGATGGTATATATAATGTTAAAAATAAAGCAAAGGTAGTACAATAATTTCAGTCAAATAAGACAATTAGGAAAAAGTATTTGATACAAAGATACTGCATAGTGATGAATGCGTCATTCCACTAACAAGACACAATGATCCTAAGTTTGTGCACATGGGCTCTAAAGATATAAAACAAATAGAGTGGTAGTTTACAAAAAGAAGGAAAAAAAGTAATTGATTATAGTTAAATAATTTTAAAGTACAGCATTGATGAAACAGTTGAAAACATGATGAACAAACCTTAACTTAGTGATAATGAATATCCTGTATATAAAACTTCTGTGATGCTGCCAAAGTAATACTGATAGAGAAATGCATAGCCTTGATTTCATACACAGTTGTCCTTGGGTATCCATGGGGAATTGGTTCTAGGACCTCACTCAAATACTAAAATATGTGGATGTTCAAGTCCGTTATATAAAATGGTGTAGCATTTGCATATGACCTATTCATATCCCCCTATACTTTAAAGCATCTCTAGGTTGCTTATACTACTTAATACAATATAAATGCTATGTAAATAGTTGTTATACTGCATTGTTTAGGAAATAATAAAAAAAAACACCTGTCTGTACATGTTCAATAAAGTCCGAATTAAAAATATATATATATTTTTCACTCTGCAGTTGGCTGAATACACAGATATGAAACCTGCAGATATGGAGGGCCAACTGTATTTGAAAATAAGAATGACTGAAATTTTATGACTTAAGTAGTTATCCTAAGATATTTTTAAATATCAATACTTAAACTGAAAAAAAAACAGAAAGAAGGAACTAAGAAATTAATGGTTAGAAGTTAGAAAGCTAAAAGTTAGTTCTTTTAAAAGAAAAATAAAATTAGTAAATACCTATTAGAACGGGTCAGAGAGAGAGAGAATATAATTAAGCAAAATCCAGATGAGCAATGGGTCATCACTACAGCTCTTACACACATAAAAAGGGATGATAGTGGGGTATTAATAAAAGTTTATGACAAGGGATTTCAATGATTAAATGGAACATATGACAAGCGGTTTCAATGATTAAATGGAATATATGACAAGGGATTTCAATGATTAAATGAAGTATGTAGAATAACACATTTCTTTCAGAAGATCTTCCAAAACTGACTCTCTCAAGGAGAAACAGAAAATCAGACTGGGCATGGTGGCTCACACCTGTAATCTCAGCACTTTAGGAGGCTGAGGCCAAAAGATGACTTGAGGCCAGGAGTTTAACACCAGCCTGGGCAACATAGCAAGACCCCTCATCTCTACAAAAAGGAAAAATAAATATAATAAATAAAAATTTAAAAGAAAACCAGAATATTTTAATGTTTGTTAAATAGATGGAACCCATAATGTAAAACTGTCTTACAAAGAAAATTAAAATTATTTTGTAGTTCAGAATTCTTTATCTTGAACCATCACTGGAGACTTCCTATAAACTTTGAAATTTTCCAATGACTGGTCCTTCCCTGAACATCTCATCTGGGCCATGATGTCCCTGGAGTACCCGGGTGTGGCTGGGCCCTCGCTGGGACTACAGCACGGCCACCTTGTCCCTCCAGCCAGCTTGTTTCCTGTGCCGCCCTCACAGGGGCTGACCCTAGGAACCTGCTGCCCACTGCTTATTGATGGGGTCTGGCCTCCGTTGGGAAAGCAGCCACAACGGCTCATCTTGCATGGACTTAGGAGAGAGATTCTCTGGAAGCAACCAAGGAGCATTGTCTGTATCTGTGCTACTAGAGAAAATACTCCAATCTTATAAAATATGACGCTGAGCTTTTCTAAAACACTAGTTTACTTTCTCAATTGCCGTTGCCAAGGGGATCTTGGAATGTCCGGGAGAAGAGGTCACTTGTGATCTAAACAGACAAGCAGATGAGTAGCCTAAATGGAGGGTTGGTTATGAACTTGGTTAGAGAGTAGATAAGTGACCCGATCCGGACGGACGAGTGATCCTGAAGAGGGGTCACACACTTCGAAAGAAGCATCCCAGGCTGAACCACAGACATGCCTTGGAAAGGCGGATAGTTAAACAGGGAACTTCCTGCAACTGGAGGACAAAATGGAAATTGAAATATTGATTTCTCTTACCCTCCAAGGAGAAAATCAGCAAAAGGAAGAAGAAACAATGTTTGAAGAAGTAATTACTGAGAATTTTCCAGAATGTATTTTGCATATAAATTACCAGATTAATTTCTGAGCAAAGTAAGTAAAAATAAGACCAAGATTAGAAGAGCAGTAAAACTACAGAACATCAAAGAAAGGAATACAACTGGAAGCTACCAGGGATAATCTAATTTAGCTGCAGATAAAACAATTTAATTACATGGAAAATAGAATTTTTCACAGCAATATAAAAAGGGCAAAAGAAAATTGTATGTTTTCAAAGTTCTAGGGGAAAAATGCCATTCACCTGACATACCTGTATTAGTTCATTTGCATTGCTCTGAAGGAATACCTGACGCTGGGTGATTTATAAAGACATTTATTGGCTCACGGTGCTGCAGGCTGTGTAAGAAGCGTGGCGCCAGCATCTGCCTCTGGTTGGGACCTCAGGAAGCTTCCACTCATGGTGGAAGGAGGAGGAGGTGCAAGCAGGACACAGCAAACTTGGAGGAGAGAGGCGACGGAGGTGCCAGGCTCCTTTAAGACAACCAGCTCTCGCGTGAACTAACGGAGCTCTCGCGTGAACTAACAGAGCAGGAACTCACGCGATACTGCAGGGATGACGCCAAGCCGCCCCCGTCTGGATGACCCGAACGGCTCCCACACTGGTGATCACATTTCAACCAGAGATTTAGACCGGACCATCCAAAATAACTCAGGGCCACAGCTACCTTTGGTGTTATTTAAGGTGCAGTTTAGTAGACATTTTCTCACACAGAATTTTGCCACACAGAGACCATCAATTAAAAAGCTGCTGAATTAAATGGAAAAACTCAAATTCAGGAAGAAGTGAGAAGTGGTGAAGGGAGAAAAATTGGAAAAATATTTCTGTGTATTTTAACAGGCGCTGATTGTGGAACTTATCTCCACAATACCTTCGTAAAAATGATAAAGGAACAGGGGTCATTTGAGTCATTTGTGGAGGCACTGAAACCACGCGGGGATAAGACATTCAGCCATGACCTTGCGTGAGACCAGGCGGGTCAGACCGCTGCGGCGCCGGGGCGGAGGGTGGAGACAGAGCTCTGGGCTCTCAGTGAAGGCCAGGTGCAGACTTAGGCTTTGGTTAAGTATTTAATTAAGAGATTGGCATTATATCTTCCCCAAATGCGGACAGGGAAAAAAGTTAATGAAAATGTGCATTTGACAGACAAACTAAAAATATTATGATCTGGGGAGTTTTAAAATCAGTGCGGAAAATGCTCTATAAACAAACGCTGAGCCAGAGAAGTTGGCAGCTGTGGTGATGGCAGCTGAGGCAGGGGCGCGGCATCCTCGTGGGTGGGGATCAGGGGCGTGGGGTCACCATGGGTGGGGGGCAGGGGTGTGGGATACCCGTGGGTGGGGGTCAGGGCTGTGGTTTCCCTGTGGGTAGGGGTCAGGGGCATGGGTTCACCGTGGGCGGTGATCAGGGGTGTGGCCTCGCCGTGGGTGGGGGCAGGGGCGTGGCTTCCCCGTGGGTGGGGGCAGGGGCGTGGCTTCCCCGTGGGTGGGAGGCAGGGGCGCAGCGTCCCTGTGGTTGGTGATCAGTGGTGCGGCCTCCCCGTGGGTGGGGGGCAGGGGCATGGCATCCCCGTGGATGAGGGGTCCAGGGCAGAGGACGCAGCCAGGCCTGCCTGGAGAGTGGAGGGGTTGTGATGTCAGCCCACCTGACAAGCAGATGAAGCCAATTTACAGACTCTCAGGACAAAATGAACAGAATGAAAAAACCTCCATTATAGTGTAAAATTTTACCAGCTTTCTTAGGAACCTATAATTTCTGAAGAAGAAAATTTGCCAAATGTATAGAATTATTAATTATTAAGCTTGATCTAAAAACCACATACAAACTCCTATACACGTGGTTTTTGTAGGCATACATTGAATATTGGCAAAAATTAAGTAAGTACTTAGGCAAAAATATAAATGACAATCAGCAAAATAAACCACATTTACATTTGAGGAATGAAAAGAGAGCCAAAACTTCCCCGTAATTTGAAAATAAAATGCAAACTCATGAGCAAAAGAAAAAAATAATAATGGAAATTATAATTATTTGAATAAAATATGTGTGAAAATCTTACGTAATATAAGCTCCGTCCAAAGAAGAATTTAGCGAGAAATATAAAGCCTTGACTCCATATAATAGAAAATTACAAAAAACATTTTCCAGCTTACATACTCAATTAGTAAATGTAAACAGAATGATAGTTAACCCGAAGGTAGTTAAAGGAATAACAAAGTAAAGATAAAATTAATGCAATTAAAAATAAAGCCCCCAAAACAGAACACCACTAAACCAATAACTTTATTTGAAGAGCTTAGTAAGGTAATCCCCCTCGAGAAATATCAATTCAAACCATAGAGATGATGCGTAGAACCAGGAGAATAATGCCAGGAGGAATAGAACAAAGTGTAGTAATCGAGATGGAAAACCCTGCGGAGTCAGTTATGAAAGATTTCATGTGAGTCAACTGGGTAGAGTCAATTGGGTGCACAGACAGAACCAGCAATTCACCCAGTTTCCGTCTGCCCAAGTCCAGCAGGGCCTGTCCAGGAGCAAGCGTCACTGTGGGCAGTCAGCGGTGGGAGGAGCTCACAGCTGTGGGCAGGGGAGATAGAGCTCCAGGAAGCCTGTGAGAAGCTCAGGGTGTGGGGAGCCAGGAGGTTGACCCAGCCCCCTAGGGAGAGACACCCTGTGAATCGCTCCTCACCCCCGTCCAGCCACCTGAGGCAGAGACCCTGTTCACCCTCACTCCTCACCCCCAGTGGTGGTGCACAGTGAGTATTCTGGCAATACGTAAAGGAATTAATAAAAATGAATGGAGACCCTGTTTACCACCACTCCTCACCCCCAGTGGTGGTGCACAATGAGTATCAGGGCAATAGGTAAAGGAATTAATAAAAATGAATGGTGAGTATTCTTCCATCCCTAGCACCTACATCCCTCCCATGGCACACATAGTGTGGGTGCTTTAAAAAGTTACCAAATCAATGAGAAATCTTTACCCAGCCTGAGATAGTCTAGGTATCTGCTTACAAATCAGAGGTGGGATTGAGATAAAGTTAAATTAATATTTGCAATGTGTGCATAAATTTCTGAACTTGGAATAACGTTGCGAATCACTGTACTAGCAGAAAATTTACCAACTGTACCTGCGGAAAAGAACACCGCAGTTGTGATTGCTTTAGATTAAATTCACTTTATCAATGGAGCATGAATACAAATTAAGAATCTGGGTCTTCATATTTCAGGCTGTGCCTCACATATTATTTATTGATTGAGGTTGGGAGGGGGCCCAGGCCCAGTCCCATTTCAGAGATCTCACTTCACTTCAGGAATAATTATGTACCTGGTTTCCTGGCATTTCTGTAAACGTTAAGTTTGTACAGATGTTAGTTGGATTTCCAATTTTTGTTTTTACAGAAACTGTCTGGGTAAACATTTTTTTCTGAATATGTACTTGTTTCTTATTTAATTATATTGGTGTTGATTAGATTCTTTTACCTGTGACATTTTAAGTTGTGAATCATTTTAAATTGAACAGATGTTTATTAAAGAAAACAAGTTAGAGTCTTAAGAGCAAGCCATAACAAGAATGTCAATTTAGCTCCAGTAGTAAATATATTCAGATAACTATTGATTTGAAAATTTACTTGTTTATTGTCTTAACCTATCAGGACTCAGCCCATTCAAAAGTTGAATATTTTGATAGAAATAGGTAAGACGCTCTGACAGTGCATTCATCACACACCCAAAATCACATGGAATTGTAAACAGATGATTTATTTTGGTGAAAAATACAGACAAGACCTCGGCTGGGCGTTCCTGGTACGGAGGGTGTGAAGGGTTCAGGGCCTGAGCTGGCCAGTTTTGTCCATACCTCTGTTTCTCCTGTTGATGATGGGGCCGGCCCCTGTGGTGCCCAGTTAATTTTTGTTATAATAGTTAACTAGTGAAGAAACTCCATAACCTTTCATAAAGCATTTATCAGATCTATTCATAGAAGTTAGATCTGCAAAAATGTTCACATAAGAGAATTTTACATGTATAATATTTGTATGAAAAATACAATGAGCTTACAGCATTTCTCTGGGCAAAACCTGGCACTAGGAGTTGAGGTGTCCATATACAAACATGAAGGCGTAAGAAACAATGTTTGTGCACCAAATAGTTCCTGTTGCTCTTGAAAATAAGAGTGAAGAGAGTTAAACGCATGGAACCGACTGCAGGCCAGGGAGTGGCCTGCACAGCCGGCCCCAGCCAGCTCAGGGGCACTCGGGGCTGTGGGTGCAGAGAGTAAGACGTCCCAGGTTCACTCAACTGACACTGTTTTGTAGGGGGATATTTCTTGACATCATCCCAGTTTAGTATCTTTTAATTAAATCAACATTGTCACAGATTCTGTAGCCTTAATTAGAGTGAGCAGAAGATTTAGGAAAGATACTAAGAGCTTAAATTTATCAGTTAAACCCTAGAGTTTAAATATAGTTCTAAATACAAATTAAAGAAAATAAAGTCTGGTCATTTTATAATTACAAAAATTAAAGCATGCCACGAGTTCACTGGTCCCTGTCTTCCCATACAGACCCTGGGAGAGACCTCCATGCAGGCACGGGCCATTTCAGTCCTCCTAGTTAGCCATGGTTTGGTGTGTGGTAAATACAAACGACGCTTCCGCTTATTCTAGAAATAATTATTTTCACAGTTAAATTTAAAGGATCTAATTAAAATGTGCCTGATTACAATTTAATTTTGATGCCTATTATTATTTTAAAATGTAGCTTCACATAAAGGCTTCGGTGCATTTAGTGCAGAAGCGTCTGCGTTTCCGGAGCTGGAGCGCCTGTCCTGGGGAAGTTCGCTGTGCTTTGTCCCTGGAGGTCTTGAAGGGTTCTGCCAAGACAGAGGCGGTTTTGTGTCTCACAACAAGACTGTTTTAAGATTTTGGTTGTTTCTTTCTTTCGAGGGAATAGACTTAATAAATATTTGTTAACTTATCTGTTGACCCAAATGTGTATTTCTAAATTGCCTACTCAGAGAAACTTTCTTATAGACTGGGCTCATTTAAACTTATGATAGAGATGGTTAATCACAGGAGTGATTCCAGAACGGTCAAGCAGTGGTGGTGCTATGAATATGTAGGTGGATGGAGAACACCCATCTTCTCTATTAAGTTAGAAACATACGCAGAGTCAAGTGACTGTCTGAACTTAGAGCCGTCCGTCTCTCCTGTGCTGACCTTTGTTTCTCAGAGGCTGCTGATGCGCAGTAGGTTCTGGCTGGCACTTGACTGCTGGTCCTTAAAAGTGTGTGCTGGAGGCTGGATTCAGTGACTCAGCCTGTAATCCCAGCACTTTGGGAGGCCGAGGCGGGTGGATCACCTGAGGTCGGGAGTTCGAAACCAGCCTGGCCAACATGACGAAACCCTGTCTTCATTGAAAATACAAAAATTAGCAG